ACGTGTGTGTGTGTGTGTGTGTGTGTGTGTGTGTGTGTGTGTGTGTGAGAGACATCGCCATTGGCTTCTGATAGGCCATACAGGGGTCTGGGGGCCCCACGGCCAATTAGAGTGGTGTTTGGTTTGGATGGGCCCAGTGGGGAGGAGAAGGGAGCCTCAGGCGAAGTAATGCCAGAAGAGAGATGGCCAAGGCAGATAGCTGTAATGAATTAGACGGATGCGTTTGCAGTCTGGAGGATTGATTGACACTGAGAGTCTGTCTGTGCAAAATGGCCTACAGCTAAGTCAGTTTGGTATCAACAACAACAGTCCAAATATTCCCATTAGTTCAGAGCCAGAACAAGGACAGATAGTTTCCACTTTCTAAATGTTTTTCCTCTCTTTCAGTCTGTCGAGCCACATTACAGTTCCCATTCCTCTCTGTTTGCCTCTTTTGCTCTTCTATATCTCTGTCTGTTTATCACCGTCTCTCAATTTCTCTACTTTTCCTTCTCACTCTGTCTTCTTCCTGTTTTCTTTTCAATTATATTCCATCTTATTTTGAATTTCCTCCTTCTTTCTCCTCTTTACTTCTTTCCATCCCTCTCTCTGTTTCTGTATTTTAGTTCTAGGAACAGACTGTAGACATAGCCCTGTTTCGGCTCTGTATAATTAGGTACTGATGTCACTCCACGCTGATGTCAATGGGAATATCAGGCCATGATCACATCAGAGCGCTGTTACCATGGTGACTAAGTGCCATCGTTCTCACCCCAAAAAAAGAGGGAGAGAAAGAGGAGAGAGAGATGGTTAGACGAAAAGCGCAAAATGTACCATCGATGGGGAAAGAGCAACAGTGCGTGCGTGCGTGTGTGTGTGTGTGTGTGTGTGTGTGTGTGTGTGTGTGTGTGCGTGCGTGTGAATGTGAAAGATCGAAATTGTGTTTGTGTGGTGGGGATGTTTGGTGAGAATATACTGTCTATGTGGTTTTCTAGTATCTCTGTGTTAAATGTTGCATGGAGGACAGAAAATAGAAGGAAACAAAGAGCAGCCAGTGATATTGACATATCGATCTCTGTGTGTAGTTGTGTGTGTGTGTGTGTGTTTTTTGTTCGTTGCCATCTTTATTAATAAAGTTCTCAGTGTACACTTACAGTTGACTCTGTGACTGTGCAGCAAAAAAGATATGGAAAAATGTTTCACCTTTCTTATGTCTTCCTTGCTCCTCAGGACAGCGATGGAGACAAGAGTGAAGACAATCTTGTAGTTGACGTCTCAAATGAAGTAAGTTGCCCATCTGTATTTCAATTATTTTTTTAAATCCTCATACAAAAATATAGGTGATAGACCCGACCATCAACAATGGACTTCTTGCATGCTCTTCCCCTGAGATCTACAGAGCATTTTAGCAACTTTCAGCTCAATGTTTTCTTTTTTACAGCCCACAACTTGGTTCTTTCTCACTGCTCTCATCAACCCCCAGTTTTCAGCTGCAGCACGCAGATGTATTTACTGCAACAATTCTGATACTTTTGCCGACAACTTTGCCTTATCGACTTAAAAAAAAGGAGCCTTTGTCCTACAGGGGCTCTTTGACACTGTGTTGCAGCCCACACATGCTAACGCATGAATCCAGCGTTGGGAGGACCGGTGTTGCTCGTGGGAACTATAGACGAACTTGGCACTGCTTTGAACCAACCCCCGACCTCTGCGTAACCCTGTCTGACTAGCTGTCGATAGTTCAATTTAACCCACACAGACGTCTAAAGAAAGACATTTCCCCATCACAAATTAGTTAACAGTTTCCTCTGACCTCTTTGGAAATGTTCCACCTTCACTACCAGTGTTTTTTCACAACATTCCATCTTCACTGTGGAAAATATTTACCTCACCCACAGAAGTCAAACTTCGCTCTCTCTCCCACACACTTACTTACAGCTATATCCTTGTGCAAAAGCTGTACATCCCCCCCCCCCCCTTTGCAGAAAAGGAAATAACTTTGATTTTCCTACAAAGCCACAAGTTACAAGCAGCCTTTATCGTACAGAAGCCTTCTGACACTGTGTTGCGGTCCGTACATGAATAACGCATGAATCCAACGCTGGGAGGACCAGTGTTGCTCGCAGGAATAACTATAGATGTACTTGGCTCGCCCACATAACCCTGTCTGTCTGTCTGGCTGTCGGTAGTTCAATTTAAAACGCAGAACTGGATGTGTGCATGCAAGTGAGGTCAGTGTTGAATACATTTTATTTAGAATTTACGCAACAAATTCATTGTTTAATTTTAGAGCCCTTGGTGTCTTCTCGACGAGATTTGCCCTTTTTTTTTGTCCCGAGTCACTTTTCACATGGCTGCGTTTTAGAGAAAGCCACGAGAACACATAATTGGGTAATTGCCTGAAGAATAACTATACTAAATAAAGGAATACTTTACACACATAATGAACATTTGTATATCTACTTGAATTCCTTGCATGCCTCCCCGGTGAAAGGAAAATGAAAACCCCCAAAAAGAGTATTTCAAGAAGTAATGATTTAGCTTCATTTTATACTTGATTGTTTACTTTCTAGTTTCGTTTAGTTTGCAGGCAATGATTACTATTTTAGTCCATACACTCCGACATTGTTTCCCCATTATTGATTCATCTTCCAATCACTTCAAAGATAAATCCAAAGATATTGATTTTCACGTCATCAAAGAAAAGCAGAACATTATTCACACACACAAACATTGTATTTTGTGCTTGTTTTTTTCTTGCTAGATTGCTTGTTTTTAATTGCAATCATCTATAGTAACCATGGTTTGTGAGTGCCTGCCTGCCTGCGTGCGTGTGAAATGTGAAACGGGTCAGCAGGTATGTAGCTAGTTCAGCTTTCCGCTGCAGTTGCCTTGTAAATAGGAAGAGCTCCTATGTAAGCTCATTATCAGCCACCGCTGTTTGTGTTCTCTCGTGAACTGTGTCTGTACTCAGTCTGTGTCCACACACACACACACACACACACACACACACACACACACACA